TAAGGATTTATTTAATGATGGTTTTCCTTTGGCCTTTGTTATGGGTCTTGCTGATGTATAGACTCTGTCAGACATGGCTTGAAATTCATTCATCTGTTGGAAATTCATTCATCTGTTGGATGATTTTCCAATTATTGCCCCAGAAAAGCAACTTTGTCTGACTCTGCTAGATTTGTTTATCGATCTTGGTTCAGATGTTGGCATTCCCATAGCACCTGAGAAAACCTGCGACCCTCTTACTACGTTATCTTTTAAAGGCATTGAACTAGATTCGGTGTTTCAGGAAGCTCGTTTGCCTCCTTAAAAAATACGTACACGTTCTTCTTTGATTTCAGAATTTTGCTTAGGAAGAAGGTCGCCCAGCGGGAGAGACGATCTTTAATGGGCCTTTTAAATTTTGCTTGTTCCCATCGTTTAGCTTCTCTACCTGACCCCACTAAATCTGAAATGATCAAACTCGCATTGCGGGTTACAGTAAAATGATCCCTTCGAGAGACACTCGGTTACCCATTACTCGGTTACCCATTACTAGAAAATATCATATTGGCCTGCGAACAAACTCAATCATCAAAAAAAAAAAAAATTAGCTCAGGCCATGTATGCTGTTGCGTTCTTTGCGGCTCTTAGACCCACAGATCAGGGATTTTGGATGCGGAAACTCTAATGCATTTCCGCGATATTTATGAACCTCCACAATGGGGTCTCTGTGAGCCTTCCAGGCGTAGCTCAGTACCATTTTCCCATGCGTGCAGGGGGATACAGTATAGACATAGTAGACTTTCCCAAACATGGCCCAGATCTGGTGTGCAGGGGCCACTGGTATCTGTGCCATGTTTGTCTTAATATTACAGTGAATATGGAATATTAGAGTATGAACCACCTCTTAGACTTACATATATTAAATCTCCTGAGTATAGTACACTCTTATATTGCTTCATTAAACCATGTGTGCGGGGGCCACTTGGTAAAGGGGTTACGCAAAGATAGTTCATTACCTTGTGGAGCTCCACAGTGTATTATCAGTGTTACCCTGAAGGGATTAGGTAGGGCCTACTTAAGAGCATCTGTCCAGGGGCCAACTGTTTCCTAAAGTGGCAAATGTTCTGAGCATAAATTGAATGTGCAATCATAAGCCGCTGTAATTTAGAAATGGTTGCTGAGCAAGGGCCCGCAGTTTGACCTTTTACGTTAGGTTTTTTTGGTAGTGCTAGTTTCGGGGACATTAGGGTAAGGGTCCAATGTTTCCACTCTGGGCCACTTTCTCTGGCCTGTAAGTAGGCGGAGTTCTTAAAGTAATTTATTTAACGGTTTGTCATCTCACTCTAGGAGGACCCGCTTAAGGGATGGTTGTGCAAGGGCCAACTGTTTCATAAGCATGACAATAATTTCATTAGTATTAACATGACATTGAATACTAGCTTTCAGTCTATCATTCTCACCAGGGGGCACTAGGCTGGTTTCCTTGCCAGTGTGAGCTGCGTTGTTTTCTTAGAGTAGTTTTTGTTTAGGCACTGTGCATTGCTTGGGCTTCAGGTGAGGCGACCCTGTCTCTCAGATCGATCAGGGCTTTGGCGTGTTTGCCCTCATCTTTGCTGGGATTAGGTTTTATTTCCGGTTTTACTGTAATTTGATTTGATATTAAAAATAAACGGCCACTCAACTAAGTGGCCAAATTACGGCAAATAAAGGTTGTCCGTTGAATTCTCCCAGCAAACCGAGCTCACCCCTAGCAATGCACAGTGTACAGCACTAGATTATTGGCAAGCGAGCAAGAGGCATAAATGACATTAATTTTATTACCAAAGGGAATAAATTAGTTTATGTAACCTGCTCCGCGTTTTATCATTACCTCTGATGGGTTACATCCGGGACTTACGATAGCAGATACTTAAACATCCGAACATGTGATTTCGGGCCTCTTTTAGTTAAGCTTCAGTGCAGGGCAAACATTTCCCACCCTATTAACCCGCCCATTATTTTCGAGCATTCTCATAGGTGCGTTGAGTTCTCATTCGATGGGTGTTTGCCCACACCTTTTCTTGGATTAGGTTTTATTTCCGGTTTTACTGTAATTTGATTTGGTATTAAAAATAAACGGCCACTCAACTGAGTGGCCAAATTACGGAAAATAAAGGTTGTCTGTTGAATTCTCCCAGCAAACCGAGCTCACCCCTAGCAATGCACAGTGTTCAGCACTAGGTTATTGGCAGGCGAGCAAGAGGCATAATTACCATTTCTGCCGTTGTAGCCCAGTATATACATAGAAGTATAAAGCCAACGAATCTGAAAAAAAATACCATAGTTTTAATTACCTTTCTGCATTTAATTGATTTCTACAAATCCATCACAGAGATTTCCAAAGTCTCAAACACGAGTAAATTGCTCTACGACGGAAAATCGATGGAAACAAGCGGATCTGTCGCAAGTTGTCGTCACCGATGAACCATGTCAACTTTCCTTATACGCGCAAACCTTTTCAAGTTGTGCATTTTTTTTAGCTATACATTAATTTTAGAAGTCGTATTCGGTCCTTGTGGTACGAAATTTTCATGGTCAAGTATTTAACATTATTTGAAAGGTAACACGAGTATCCAGCCACTTTTTTTTGAGAAACATATCACTCAGCATGCAATTATTGAAATTATTCTCGATGAAATTTCATTTTATTTTTCAAACAAAAGCCAATTTAATTTTGAATTCCTCATTTCTTTCTACTTGAAAAGACCAACTCCTTACTCTCACGGAAAATATGTAAATAATATTTTGCGATTTAAATCTTGAGCACACTAAATTTGAAATCGCACAAAGATGGAATGAGAGATCTGACTTTTTCGGGGATCTGAAGTTTGAGTTTTCAAGGTCTGAAGTTTAGTGACACCCTCGTCAGGCATAGATAGTTACTTCTTTGGTTCTTAGTGGTAATTTTTTTTCGTTAAAAAGAGGTTCAAATCGAAGTCCGACTCAAAATCCGTAACTCAAACACGAATCCAAACTCGATGGTTCGCGCTTTCCTTTGTTACTTTAATCCCGATAGGTGATTGTTTTGAGTTGATCTTCATTGCTCCTTATGCATTTAAATCGCTTGGTAACCATTTAACAATATAGGAAAGTGATCGGATATCCCAGAGGACATAATGCTCACACCGTGAAGCCATTCCGGGTGATGCACCAAACGTGATCAAGAGAGCTTTTTGCATGACACGGGCCTGATAATTTCATGGAAGAGTTAAATATCTGAGTGTTTTTTATTTTTTTTACCTTTTCCGGCTCTTAGCAGGATGCTTTGACGATTGTTATTTCCATCAATTACATATGATATACTAGCTATTGAAATCTGGTCAAATTTTCAGCGAACTACAGTTGCAAGAAAGAAACAAAAAGACATCCGCTTCTTTCCCTTTCACTGAGACGAAATTTTTTATAATCGTTTTGCAAAAGAAAGTAGAAACATGTGCATGATTTGAGCTTGTAATTGAAACTGTCTGTCTAGTAGAAAATCAGTAATAAAGAGAGAGAGAGAGTTCGTAATAGAATGTTTGATTTAAGTAGAACCACTTTCTTGATAGAATATTTGATCTAATAAGTATCGCTGCTTTCTGGCAATGACTGAGTGTCACTGTTTTTTTTTTTCTTCAAGCTATCTCTTACATTTTAGTACCCGATTGCAAATTGTTGGTTATAAGTTAGAGTACATTCGACAACAATTTTGACGGCCGGATATGTGGGAGATACTCAGAAATTAGTTCTGCATTCATGCAATGTTTTTGTTTAACTTGAAAAAAACAGTTATTATAAAGGCTGAGGTAGGTTTTCTTTTTGGAGCGTGAGCCAATGTCTTTATCTAACCTGTCATATGACATTTACACGTACACAGTCAACCTTTTCAGTTTTTACAATTTAAATTAGCCTTGCTGGGGATTTGATGTCGTTTGCTTTTGTCGTCGGCGAAAGGTGGCTCATACATGCGTTTCCGAGTAACTGTCACTACTATCCGCATGTGTTTGCCTTTTTTAACTGACTGGGTATTACATTAGGTAAATCGACATCATCTTTTTCAGTTTTTTACGTTCTGAACATGGTTCTCAAGGCAATTGTTTGCGTCCTTCTCGCGAGTCAAGTATTTAGTATTGGTAGGTCTCTGCTTATACTTATTCTATCGTGTTAGGATGCCTTTCCTGAATATTTCCACACATTTTACCCGGTTACCAATTTCTTGATTCGTACTCAACGGGGCATACTCCCTGGCTTCTTTTCTTTGTTTTCCAATCGAAAACTTCGACTTTTTGGGACGAGATTCCATTCGAAAAGGACGATAAGGAAAGAGTTGACGACGAACCACCTTATGGTGGAACCATTTCATTTATTCATTTCATGCTATTCCATCTCTCTAGGATTTAAAGTTCTCTAGATAAAAGTCCATCATTTTCTCCGCCAATTTCTTCTCCCCCAACATTTTAATTGTATAGTTTCAACCGAACAAGACGTGTTTCTCACGAGACCTTTTGGATATTTCATTATACCCTTGGCTTTTCTCCCCCTTTTTTCTCTTGATTTAGGTCTGATTGTTCTGTTTTGTTTTTAGATAATTTTGTTATTGTTATTGTTTCTGTTTTTGTTTTTGTTTTGATTTTATTTTTCTCAATTGTTGTTTTTTGCTGATCCCGGCAGGTTTGGGGATCTTTTGCTCTAAACCATTCATGCTCATGTAGAAAACTCATTCCCAGTTTAAATAGCTTAAAATTTGTCTATCATTCTTTGTTTACAGACGTCATAGACTATGTGCCCGTCGGATGTTACAACGACATACGCTCAGATAGGGCCTTGCCTACAATGCTCGCAAACTATCGCGTGGAAAATGCAAAATGGCCAGATATCTTGGACTGGAGTGATTTGGAAAACTCTGTCATAAAAAGATGCGCCACTAAGGTTTGCCGGATTGTTGTTGCAGATATTTTTGTCGTTGTTGATGTTTTCCACAATAGCTGCAAAGAGTAAAAAGTTGGCTTCAGTACTTGTACAGTCAGCTTTCGAATTCGCAACGATGTTTACGGTCGTCTTTGTAACTTTATGTTTTCTCTATTCATACAGCTCCATAAGCCGCCTATTTAAGATACACACTGAAATGAAATTTTCAAAGTGTCATATATGAAATATGACAAAAATTTTTTGGTCCTATTTAGGCTAAAGAAAGGGGCTTTTCATTTTTCGGAGTCCAATTCTATGGAGAGTGTTGGAGTGGATCAGCAGGTCAAAGTACCTATACTAAACACGGTTTATCAAAGAGATGCACCACGACAGCTCCATATGTGGGAAAAGCTAACGCTAACTTGGTGTACATGCTTACTGAAGGTTCGTAACTACTGGCAATAGTTTACACTGATGTCTGTCATACTTTTGATTACTAAAAATGAGTCTCCTCCTTTGCCAGTTAATAAACAGGTGGCTGGTGGAGTTAAGAGTGCATGTTACCCAGCCGTTACCTGGAAGGCACGTGCTTTAACCAAGTCAAATCCTAGCTCTTTATTTCCTTATCATTTTTTAGTTATTCTTATCAGTTGTTTTCAATGATTTGTTTGCTCCGTTTTTACTTACAAAGACCGCTTCGTATTATTTATCTTTCAATAGTGTACTAATTAAGTTGGACCCAAACAACCATAACTTGATAAGTTATTTTCTTCATAAGCCTTTCCTTTCGCTCGTTGTCTGTAGGTCTGATTATGGTTTTGTTTAATAATACTTCACGTAATAATAATCCGTGCACAAAAAAAAACCATGCAAATTCAATTTTAACTATGGAGTTCTTGAGCAGATCAAGCAGGAAGGAGGTTTGGGTGTGTTCTAGCACTATTGTCATCACCGTACTGTAAGATTTGAGGTCTCAAGCGTCCTTATGCGATTTAGTAACTATTTAACAACTATGACCGAAGTGGAGTTGGTAAGTGGTGGATATTTACCGAGCCGCGAAGCGGCCAGGTAAATATCTACCGCTAACTTGACCGACAGTGAGGTGAATAGTTGTTTTAGTATCTACTATAACAGTGAGATAATATACACCACCAAAGATTGATTTGAGTGATTTCTTCGCTTGTCATGGGTGCAAACGGGACGCCATTTTTTCTCGAGTTGCTCGGAGGTAAATAGCAAAGGATATTCGGAGTTTGACTGGCCAATCAGAGCGTGCCTTCAACGCTATCGACTGTTTTAGTATATACTAAATACCAACATTTCCTCTTTGGTGTATACTTAATGCAAATTCTGCTATCATTCTTAAGCAGAAAATGAATGTAAAACCTACAACATTCTTGACGACGCCTCCCGATCTCAGTTTCATGTAACTTACTTTGAACACCCGATTAGATGCGACGATGGAAAGTTGGATGAAAACCGCTGGTATAGATTTACTGGCCAATCAGGAACTGCAATGGCAGACAAATGTGTCCCATCCAGCAGGTGTCAGACTCTTGGTACAGGATGGTAAAGCGGATCTTACCCTCAGGTTATCATCAGTTGAAATTTGGATTATCTCTTTGTTTCATATGGATCCATTTTTAGTGACCGTCTGAATACAACGAAGGAGCGGCTTGTTTACTCAAAGTAAAACGTCAACACATGGGAAATGGTCAAGTAGTTTTGTTGGTAAATATATCATTCATTATCCCTCACTAGATGAAGTTAGTCAATTCATGTCGCTTGGGGAATTTTTTTGAAGAGAAAATCTCTTCACGTTGCGATAAACATGTACTGACCACAGCACTATTTTCGAAACATCATGTTGGAAGATAAAAGAACTAACTTGCACCCAAGGTTATCATCTCCAAACTTAGTACCCTCTTCATTCTTTTTTCTGGTTAAGAAAAACTCAAATCAAACCAAAATTCGAAATCAAGTGAATAATATGAATGCCATATCAACATACATTGACCAGTTTCCATCTCATTTTTTCTTTATGTGCTTTTTTGAAGGTTTCCGAAGGAATTCAAGCAGGGGATGCTTGCTTCAACTGGCTTAGCAATTGTTGTGGAAGAAAAGTCGACATTCAGATTCGAAACTGTTCATCTTTTTTCGTGTACAAGCTGAACAACAAGATCAGCTGCGCGTATGCATATTGTGGAAATGGCCAGTGAAAAGGAGAGGTCTTCAGTAATGAAATGGGAAAAGAGCTGATCCACTGTATCAGCGAGTCATTTTTACTCATTACTATCTACTGAACACAACTGATATGAAAATAAAATTGTCCTTCACAACCTTGCATCACCCTTTCATCCCTACCATCTTTGCATTCGCCATGGGTTTCCACTTCCGTTTCCGTTTCACTTCCGTTTGGGTTCTCATTTCTGTCTACAGACCCTTCGATCTTTAGGAGTGGCTACAAATTCAAATTCTCCATAGACAGTATCACCCCTAAATCAAACATTAAACTTACGAAAATAAAAGAAAATGATCACCAACTTCGAGTTCTCGATTTTTCGCCAAATTTTCCCTAGAAACACTAGGAAATGTATATATAGACATTTGTGTCCTTTCCATCGATGAGGTAGTATCATACAGACTCCGTGGAGCAGTATATTTCGCCTTCCCTTCCTCTTTCCACTTTCCTAACTATGTTTTACTTATTAAGGAGTGTTTTCCAATGCCTTTCCTCTTAGTTCCAGATTTAAACCTCTTGAGCTTTCCTTTATTTTGCTTTGATCACTTTTTTGAGCCAGTCTCCCTGAAAACTCCACTCGTTTAATCAACGCCCACAATACTTTTAATTTCCATTGATGCTTTAGATTGCAACTTCGTCCGTTAGAGTATTATGTTCATTTTTATCTTTAGTTGCAGCTTTATTCACGGCTGAATTAAAAATTTCTAGATTAGGAATGAAGAGAATTCTGTATGTCTAGGGAAAGCTGATACATCTTACTGGAACTTTTGTAAATCCAACAACAAATTATCAAAAGTGCACCAAGGTATTTGTTACGCGACAAATTCAAACTCGAAGAATCTTCACCGATCCAATCAATGCATCTGCCGTTTGTTTAACTCTTCGGAATTTTTCATTGTGTGGATAATTATATCCGCTTTAGAATTAAGAACAATTACTCGTGACTGCTTTGCACTTTAACGAAAAGATCTCGTCCTATTGAGTATTCAAACGTGAAAAAGCGAATTTCCGGTCAAATTATGAATGTTGATTCTTCGGGTTAATTTATGATGAGTAAAAACGTGTCCGGTTCATCTTCGGCCGATAAAGTTTTTAATAAAATTTGTTTTCGCAGCTGTGGCGGACTGCCTGTCAGAATGGCTTTGTGATTTACATCCAATTGTCACTCTGTAATGACTCCTCTGTCAAAGATTATATTGGTGAAAGAAAAGGAATTAGCATTTTCTAACAGAAGAATGGAAAGAGTTACCAGAACAATACTGGTAATGATGATAAGCTAAGTTAATAATCACCGCCGTTTTGACTAGTTATATTAAGTTCCTAAAACAAATTTTCAGTATTCAGTCAAATTTCAACCATTAAATTAAATAAAATCGTTAAAAGAGTGACACCGACATGTGTCATTGAACGTGTGAAGTGCTAAGTTAACAATATGTTATTAGCAGGTGTCGCGTTGACAAATTCAAGTTCTCTTTGTAGAGCCAACTTCTTTCAATCCTCTGTAGACAGTGTCAACTACCAAAATACGGTTGCAACCTACACAATACCGTGTTGGCGGTTTTGTTTGTTGATCATGTTCGAGTAGAACAGAATAAGATTGGTTTGAAAGGCAGATAAAGGGTCAAACCTTAACAAAGCTTTGTTGCAACCCAACAGCAATGATCACTCCTCGGTTTCTTTTGTTGCAGGTATTTCTTAGTTGTTTAACAGCGGCTAAAGACAATGAGAAAATTGATTTACTCCAAGATGACGAAGGTAAAGACTGCTGAAAAATACTGTGTAAAAAAATAATAATTGTATTTGCCGGATAAAATGTATATACGCTTCCTCAAGGAACTCTTTAGATTAACCTTAGAATTTTAACCGTACGCAGTACAATTCTGATTCATAATATGTATGTAAATAGCCAACAAGCTTCGCACCCCGCGAACACTTTAAAAATTAAAGATGAAGAGCTTTCTTTTGTTTGGAAATTATCTTTACATGCAAGAAAATGGACGTTGTAGATCTATCATCACGTGCTTACCAAAAACGAGCATTGTTCACATTCACTTGACGATCCGTTTTTCTTTTCGACATTGCCTGATAACTCTTTTTTGTGTGACTATTCAATTTACAAACATGCTATTTAAAAATTAAGGAATCACCTAATGCGGCCCATCCATACAAGCGACCAGTGTGAAACACCTGAGAGATAATACCAGATTCATACATTTTATCCTCGGCGTTCGCGAATTATTTTTAATAAAGCCACAGTTCGGCGGCTGTTGTGTTCTAGCTTGCTTCAATGGGGCACGATAATTTTCATCAAGTGAATAATACGTATTTCCATGTTCTATTTTCAGTTTAAAATAATCTACCAAGATATAATCGGGAAATTATTCTGCCAGGGCTTACCAACCAAAGCTAATCTGGGTAACAGTCAGGCGTTCATTCAGTTTTAATCCAAAGTCCAAAAGTCTTAAGTCGCGCGAAAGAGGACGCAATTTAAGCCGCGTACAAACACTGTATTTGATAAAAAGATTCAATACCTTTTTTTTGTGTCATGTTACAAGTTATATGGTATTTCTTTTCAAGTATGATAGGATGGCACGTTTTAGACGCCGATATGTATTCAGCAGTTTCCCATACGATTGGCTAATTTTCTCCTCGCTCTGATGAAGGGCTAACGCTCGAAACGTCAGCTTTTTAACTGTACGTTGGCCAATTCACAATAATTTTAACTTATGAAGGTGTAGTCTGATCGTCCGGGTGAGTGTAGTCCTGAGAAGGACTGTTGTCGGTGGCAGTGACTGACGTTTCGACAACCTGTGCGGAAGTCATCATCAGAGTCAAGTTAACTTAGTTGATATGACCAAATTACCTAATTTTCTACTCCTTTGTTACGATATGTAATCTATGGTAAAAAACCTAACTGAACAGTGTGTGAATTATGCTACGTAGTGAAGGTAGGCAACGTGGATAACTTTTTGAGAATTTTTTCTTCTTTCAGAAAGTAACATAAAAAAGTGAAAGAGATTGCGAAATATTAGCGACTGATATGGATTATAGTGAAGAAATTTAAAATGCAGGGCTAGAAACTCACACGAGGCACACTAAATTAACAATTGGTTCATGCTTTAGCGTGCACTATCGATTTATGGAGCACGCGGGAAGTTTGGAGAGCACGAAAGAAGCGTAAGAGTTGCCCGAGGCGATAACCGAGGGCAACTCTAGCTTCTTGAGTGCTCTCCAAGCTTCCCACGTGCTCCATAACTCGATAGTGCACAGCTGAAAGCATGAACCAATTGTTTTAGAACATAGCCGGTGGAATTGTGCATCAAATGCGACGCGAAAAACGGACAACAATATCAGTTGATGCGAATCGTGACGGCGCTCAAGCCGAGTCTCCTTTTCCTATGTTTTTCTCTTTTTCTGCCTCATTTAAGAACTCTAGCCCATGGGAAAAGGTCGAAACATTGTCTTCGTTTTCGGACTAGCAGGCCGAGTTTCTGTTTGTATCCATTATTGTCGCGAAATGTATTATTTTTCCCCGCACTAGCAATGGCCGCTCGCGCGAAAAAAAAATTTCTGGCGAAGTCGGATTTGCTGACGCTATCAGCGTGCACTATCGGGATTTTGAGCACGCTTACGTATAATGAATTTGATTGCGCGACTCTGCTAGCTATGTTCTAAAATTAATTT